TATTCTGTTCAAAGTGAATCTTTACTTATTTCTCCTCAAAGTATAAATTCACTTTTTATTAAATCCATTCCAATAAATGTAAAATCCAACAAATGTTAACCAAATCCAACAAGAAATTAAAAGCCACCTATTCCCCAATATGGAATAAGCCGCACAGCCAAAGAGCTGTCAGAATTAATCTCCGGAGAGGTATGACGACAGACAAAAGGACACATAAAGAGCAAAGTTGATCTCCAAGGTGCACTCCAGCAACCTATCAGATTTCAAGTAAGAGAGTCTTTTTGATTTGTTGCTGATGATCACTACGCTTTGTGTAATTTTGCATATAATTAGTGTAAAAGAGCATGTTATTATGCAATCTTTTCTAAGTGAATGGTTTGGGAATGTAAGTTTATGATTAGCTCCGTAACACGGCCTATATATAGTAAATAAATCAATTGCTATGTTTCTATTTATAAAGGAACAAGAGACAAGAATAAAAGGGTGTTGCTGCCTATTGTGACCAATCAGAGTCCTTGTTTCATTTTCCCGGAGAATAAAACATAAATGGTGAAAGGTCACAATGCGCAATAACTGATTTCAGTAATATATTCTCTCTGGCTAACCGTGTGCACAGATGTTCCATCAGCTTTGTATAAAGGTGGATTGTGGGTATAATACAGCTTTAATTTCCTTTATTTTGCCTGAGACAAATCTGTCCATAGACGGAATTAAATACAGATGGATATATCTATAATGCAGTGAATCTGACATTCACCAAACATTAACTGTCAGTAAATCTTCCAAGTGCATGTATTTTAAATTACAGAGATTGAATCACCTGCAGAGAATGTTTTGTGAATGTGACATTCACTGCTTAATAAATATGCCCCACGCACACCTGCTTTCTAATGTCCTTGTGTATTCCTCCTTTGCTCTACCAATTCATGGAATAGGCAGGACAGCAACATTGCAAGAAGTCATTTGCAATGGGAGCTGCCACATTAGGTGCGCTAAGTCTTACAAATGTGAAGCACGCCTTTATATGAGACTAAATGCATTTATTCAAGATATTACAAATCACTTCCAACGGGTTAACAGCTACTTAGTCTATTAAATAGGAGAGTAAATATGAGCCAGACTGTTGTAATTTGCCTACAGTTATAAAAACATTGCTAATGGAGCTTTTATACACAAGAGCTGAAGTAAAACACATGCAGTGGCAGTGTTTGCATCCCAATAACGTATTGTGGTTGCTCTTCATAATTGAGTCTTTCTCAATCTATAGAGGGAAATGTATTTGAAAAGCATGGCACACCCTGTTTTTAACATGACATCTAATTATTTTGCAGCATTAGCCATAATAATGGAAATCATCTCAAGCACCAGGTATTTTTTTTATTAGACATACAAATCTGTTTTAACAAAGTAGACTATGGGGTCTATTCACCAAGCTGCCGAGGGCAGCCGAGTGAATGACCGATAAAAAAAAAAGAAAAAACTCTCCAGGGCGCTCTGGGAGCCTCCCGCTCCCGGCATTGTTCCCGCCCTCTGCTGATGGAACTGCAGCAGAGGGCGGGTACAATGCTAGTTTACTATTGGCTATTGCCTTTGTGAGTAAGAACTGACCTCTCAGCAGCTGGTGCTGCAAGACGTTTACAAGCCTGGTGATGATGTCACAGGGAGTAATAAAGTCAGTTTCTTGCTACGGGAACAAAGTAAAAGAGCAAAATGAATGCTAATTGGGAAAGGAAGGTTTGTTGGTAAAATGCCTGGACATAAACTTTAGGTCAGAAAGTCTGCTCTGGTTACCTTAAAGGAGAACTATGGGGTGAGTGAAAATCACTCATAGTTTGAGCCGACGTGTGACAATGAAACTCTCACAGGTCAGCTCAATAGATCGGAGAAGTGAGCGAACGCATAGCGTCACTCGCTCACGTTACAATCATCTCCCTGCAGAGAGCAATGACTGTCAGTCACCGCTCCCTGCAGGGATTCCCCCCCTCCTCTCTCCGATCCTCCAGCGCTGACTGCTGATAGGCAGAGCCAGCTGTCATTCATGCAGCTGGATGGATCTCGACAGCATTGTCGGGATCTGTCCCGGCCGCAGTATACCGCGAGCTGTAGCTCGCGATAAACTTAGCTTTGGGTCATGGGAGGACTAGTATATGTCTTCCCGTGACCCTTAAAAGAGAACTATGAGGTGAGTGCTTTTCATTCATCCTCATAGTTCTAGCCGACCTGTGACAATGAAACTGTCACAGGTCGGCTCAGTAGATCGGGAAGTGAGCGAACACATACCGGCGTTCGCTCACTTCTTGATCTTGTCACGGCAGAGAGCCGTGACAGGGGGAGGGACTGGTCAGTGCTGACTGGCAAAACGGACGGGGGAGGGGGCGGTTACAGCTGGCTCTGCCTCTGCCTCTAGAAATATCCAGACATAATTGTCGGGATCCGTTTCAGCTGCGGCGTCTCAGTATACCGCGAGCGGCAGCTCGCGGTATGCTGAACTTAGGGTGACGGGAGGACGCTAGTTTGTGCCCTCCCGTTACCATTAGGAGAACTATGGGGAAAAGCCCTAACCCCATAGTTCTACTTTAAGAGAACTATGGGGAAAAACACTTATCCCCATAGTTCTCTTTTAAGTTTTATAAATTTAGAGTGCAACCTTTTTTTTTTCTACATGATTCTGTAATGTGTAATATTTTTCTTATTCTCCAATGTACAGTATGTGGGAAAAGCAAGAAAAGGTGGTGCATGAATCTGGAAATGACCTGGCCAGCATTTCACATTCTAAGATTTAGGCCACTTGTTAATATAAGGTTAACAGAGCAGCCATCCTTTCAACTAAGATCCCAGAATTCAACCAAAAGCCAACTACCAGGAGATGTGTGTCCCTTGAGCCATTTTAAATGAAAAAAAATCCTTCCTGGACTGTAGTGTACCTTTAAGAGTTTCTATTGCCAGCCAATAGTATAGTGGGGAGGAGTGGTCTAGTTGTATTCAGTTAGCCCCTCCCTCCATGTCGTTATCCAGTATGGAATAGCTTAGTGCCCATAATGCAGTGCCATGTGATAAAGTTTTGTAAAGGCCGAGACTGTGAAATCTTAAAGTGATAGTTGATTACCATAAAGGACAAGGGAGACTTTAAAAACATATTGAAGCAGTAGAATCATTTGTTTGTATTCATTTCACTGCAACCGAGAAAGTTTTTACTATCGTTTAACATATTTTACATATAGATGCAAATGAAACCTGAAATTTAGTAAAATAGAAGGGGACTGAAAACTAGTTAATTGCTCTTTTTAAATGATTGCATTTACAATCTAGTGTTGAATTAGTATTTTTCATTATAGATTTCAATAACTGGGAATGAAAAAAACCACACACGTGACTTTCTCTCTTTTTTTTTTTTTCCCAAGAAATCCTATTCATGAATTGGCAAGTGTTTTATAACCTCAAGATGACAATATATCTCCAGGCATTCACAGCATTATGTATTTGCTTAATGGCGTTTGATGTTTTCAGTAAAAATAGCAATGATGTAAGAAATTCAGATCAAACAAAATAATTATAATGAAAACCCCCATTGTTTTAACATCAAAATAAACCTTTTGTAACCTACATCATAGCCATACACGGCATCAAATGTTGTTCTATTGCACCACCTAGTGGCAGTTTCAGAATTTGCAGTATGGTTCGTGCCAATTGTAAAATCGTAACATAATTTGCGTCATTTATTTCACACAAACAAAGATACATAATAAAAAGAAGAGTAAAATATGGAGCAAATTTTTTGGGAAGCTCTACTGATAGCTTCACTGTATACACAAGACTATTCCAATGTCATGAATACAATTAGCCAAAGTAACCATAGAAGGGCATCTAAAATGTGCTGCAATAAAAAAAGTAAGAAAAACGTCTTTCACATAATGATAGTGGCCATGCTTGTAAAATCTCACCTTTTCTGTGACTCAGTTCTATCAATGTTCACCGTGCTGTATAGGTGTTTCTTTTATCTATCATCTGTTTAAATACCCCAATACTTAGAAAAATAAACCTCCTATGAGAAATATCTCTCAGCCACCAATCAGATTCAAAAACTGTAAAACTTGAATATGACAGATAACACAGCAAGGAAAGAGAGATGAATTTACACAGCAAGTGGTTCAGGAAGTACACTTATAGTGAACATGTGAGGAGCTGTATGTATGCTTATAGCAGAAAGATATCAGATTAAAGATGAACTCCGCGATAAGCATATATAAAAGCCATGTGTATTCTTACGCTGATCTTGGTGTGTTTTGTGTATTTCTTCCAGATCTGTGCCGTAATCCAGTGTGAAACTTTGCCTGCGTGGCAGAGCTACCTGTAGTAAAGACCAGTCACTGCTGCTTTCTCTTCTTGTGCAGGGTGACTGGCCTTGTACCCGCCCTCTCCTGTCGTTTTCTGTGGTAAAACTGTAGTCATTGGAGCCTGCTGGGCCCCTCCCACAACTCTCCACTCTCTATGTGCAGCATAGTGATGGTGTCACAGTTACTTTTACAATATTTTACAATATCTGGGATTGCAAATGTATTTAGTGCACACAATGTGGATTTATACAGTTTGTGGCTATTGAGGAATATATTAAAATTAATTTTAATTGTCCCAAAAATGTTATTTTGTTGCCCAGAGTTTAGCATTAGGGTAAACTGAATTCCAGAATAGCATTAGGAGCTCACTGATTGGTTTCTCTTGTTGCCTGAAATGGCCCTTACCCAATAACTTCAGCTTTTCTGTGCAGCAGCCAGGTCTTGGCAAAGACAGTCTAGCAATATTATTAATCTAGAGCTCGCACACAAAAGAATATACGAGGCTTCTGTGTAATTCCTGGGGGTAAATGTAACACTTGCTATAACTCATTACTGTGGTAGACATAGTTATTTCTGTTAATTGCAACACATACAGTAGAAAGAATTAATTAGCTGCTTTCTTGTTTCAGTTACATAAAAAATCCCATGTTTAGGACAGTACTGTACCTGTATGAGTTCTTCTATGTGCTTTCAGGTGGGAACTCTTTGTGTAGACTTTGTTACAACCTTCAAAATCACACCGGTGTATCCGTCTTCTTCTGGAGTCTGGAGATTCTGACCTGCGTTGGCGTCTTGTGCTTTCAATGCTGAATGGTGAAACTGAGCTGCAACACAGGGAAAGTAAACGCAACGTTTTAATGCATGAAAATACAGAATGAACAGTGTACCAGTATTGTAAAATGCCAAATAATCATTTCCTGCCAACCATGTGGTATCAAAGTGGAAATACAGCTTAAAGTTTTTTGGTTTTTTTAACAGTGGGGAAGGCATAGACCTTCTATTGGGTCCTACGGCTGCATTCACACCAGCGGCTGCACTACGATGCATAGCTGCTGGTGTCCGTTAGCTGTCACAGCAGCGATTTGCTGATCCCAGCGCAATGCACTGTTTACCTTTATGTTATTTTTTTGTTTCATTTTGTTATCTTACAAAAACGATAGCAAATCTGCAGACCTACTGATAATGGCATCAAGCAATTTCAAAAGTGCAGTTTTTGTATTTTGTAATCCTTATTTTGTTGATTTTTTTTTTCTAACAAACACATATACTATTAAAAAAAAACATATTATAGAATAAACCACACACACAAAACAAAAACACCACAAATACTATAAGTAAATAAAGTTTATTTATGTTTTACTCTTGAAAAAAAAATCCCCTTGGAGTGGGGCTACCCTTGCAAGGGTTAACTGCTCTTTAACCCTTTCGCTGCCAAGCCCTCCAGAAAACACTTTTAACCTCAGCTGGTCACACCATTTTTGGATTTTTTCACCTTTTTTTATCTTCAACCGCAGCTTTTAGCATTTGTAAAAGATCCCCCAAACCATATATTTTCTGAAAGCACAGGCGCGGGAGATTAAAAAGATGGTGCTAGTAATTTTGTAAGTCCTGCGATAATTACACAAATGTATGTCAAATCAATATTAAACCGATAAAAATACACAAATAAATTGATAAAAGCACACTACAATCAGTATCACTGCACACACAAAAAAACATTTCAGAGTAAATCTAAGATACAACTGTATTGAGTTAATAAATAACAAATATTGGCAAATTTAAAATTGCGCCTTTTTTTGCGAAATGGTAAAAAAATGAAGTAGCGCAAAACTGTAAATAAGGGACTTATGTTAAAAATTGCTGTGCTGCTGTATGTGTTATGATAAATTACATTTAATCACAACACAGCGTATCTCAACGCACAGCAATGCGTCACACTTTGCCACACACTGCCACAGTTAAAATAATGTTATTTTGAAAAGAAAGAAAAAAGAAAAATCAAGCACTGCCATGCGTTTTAACAACACACTGCAGTGCATGGCGTACACCACAATATGGTGCACACGTATAATATATGTGTGTGTGGAGGGGGGGTTATTTTATTTTTTCTTATAATGTTTTATTATTTTTACTGTGGTGGGGGGGGGGCTTTGGGAAAGTATCCGGGGTTTAAACAGATCCCTGACATATGCCCATTTCAAATAGAAATAGAGGACACAGAGTCCTCAATCTCTCTTTCTGCAGCCTCAGCACTGAATGAATGGAAAGCACTCAGTACAGAGGCTTCCCATTCATTCAGAAACTAGTGATTGTAAAATATTTACTATCATCCAGTTATTAATAGGTATTGGCCTCTCTACTGAGCTGCTTCTACCCACTCAGAAACTCATGAATTAACAGGAAGTGATGCAAAGCACTTCCTGTTCATTCATAACTGGGGACACATAGTACTATCTGTCCCAAGTTGTTTACAAACATTGGAGTGATCAGCAATGCCTCCAGTGCTTGTGCTGTATACAGGGGATCAGTAAATATTACACATATTTACCTATGCTAAAGCGACCATGAGCTAGCTTATAGCAGAAGGGTGAAAGCCACCGACGTAAGGTTTACTGATGTGGCCAGCTGCAAGAAGTCGTGTTCTGCAATAAGCCTTAAGTCGGTGGCAGCGAAAGGGTTAATCTCTAGGGGACCTGTGCAAAGGACTCTTCCTTTCTTGATCCCCGCCTCTAAAGACTCCAAGACTGCCACCAGACCAGCCTCTTCCCCCTTGCACTCCGGTGCTCAGAGGTCCACTGACATCATCACACGTACAATGCAGGGCTCATAGTCCTGCATTATACATGAAGACAGTGTGGTACAGTCCACAAGTCAGAGTGTAGGAAAGATGAGGAGAGCGCCAACTGCTCGGGGAGCAGGGATCAGGTAAATGTTTTCACAAAGCATTTTCACTCATCCCAATAACCTGAAACTTGCTCAATATGGAATCCTGAATTACTTACCATCTATGCCCATGCCATGCCTGAATAAGCCTATAGACCAGGGGTGGGCAACTCTGGCTCTCTAGTCGTGCTTTAACTACAAATCCCAACATCATATCTGTAACTGTCAGTTTTGCAATGCCTCATGGGACTTGTAGCTCCACAAAATCTGGAGTTGCCCACCCCTGCTATAGACATTAACTTTTTTCCACCTCTTATTTCTTTATAGTTGTATACACATTTCTCAGCATCTCTTATTACGTCTTGGTATTTAATAGAAAATATATATTAACGAACACTGATCTAAATGATAACCTGTATAGGATGAAATGAAAGTGCTGTTAAAATCTGTGAATATAATTACGTATCTAATCTTTTTGTCTGTCTGGCTCTGCAAGAGTTGATAACATGCAAATTAGCAGCCTTCTGACTCCTGACACCCAGAATGATGAGGTGTTCTTGCTGCCCTGTCCAGGTGTCAGGATGACTGATAACAGCTCAGTGAAGCACAACGAAGAGCAGGGAAGACCAGATTTTGTGATATTTGTATCGTTCTGTACTCCACAAGGCACATGTTACTGAAATGATTTACAGCCATTAGGGATTATGGCTCATGGCGGTTGATTTACTAAAGGCAAATAGGCAGTTCACTTTGCAAGGTAATGTGCACTTTGCAGGGGTAGTTTCCAATACGCTTAGCTGAATGAGGTTCCATTTTTCTTTGCAAAGAATACCCAATCATGTACAAGCAGGATAAAAAAAAACAGAATTTTTGCTTGCACATGACTAGATAATGGAAGTCTGCAGAGCTTCACCTCATTCACTAAACTATAGGGAAACTTTCCCTGCAAAGTGAACAGCCTGTTGGTCTTTAGTATATCAACCCCATCGAGTGCAGGGTATTTTCAGTAAATAGCACTTTGTACTGCTCGAGTCGAGGGCTGCAGAAAATACTCAGAAATAAAGGACTTAGCTTGCAAATGAGGATTCAAACTAACACTTAATCACATTTACACATTAGGCCACTGGCTAATCAATAGCCCATTAGATCAGTTACATAGCAAGGCAGAGGCCACAAAAGCAAAAAATGAAATACAGAAACATATATACAGTACATGTCAAAAGCACAAGTCACAAACCCCCAAAGATTATGTCCCCCAGCAGCTCAGTTACCTGTCTGAGCCATGACTATACCAAATATTATAGGACAAATGCTGTTAACCTTTTCACAGTTCATTTGACATAACCGCACTGGCAATTAATAAAGTGCTAAGACAATGCACTAGGACAAAGATAAGAAGGTTGGAGGGATTGCAATCAATATCTCACAAGTTAGTGATAAATGACAAGTCCAATAAAGAAATTCTGTCATGGCTTTATTTACACTCCTACTCCAGTATGAATACAGCCAACAGTTATAAAATACAATATGTAAATATCAATATAACAAAAAGCAAAATTGCTCAAAAGTATAGGAAAAGCAATGGAAGAAAGCAGAGTAGCTGTAATCACAATGTAAAAAAAAAAGAAGAGTTTTGTAATGTTAAATTGTGAACTCTCTCTCTCTGTCTCTTTAAGCTGGTCTTCTCTCCCATTCTTTTGCTGACTTTTGCTTTTTAGATAACATATTTTGTATTAAAGGAGAACTATGGGGTTTAGGGCTTTTCCCCATAGTTCTCCTTAGGGTAACGGGAGGACACAAACTAGCGTCCTCCCATCACCCTAAGCTTAGTATACCGCGAGCTGTAGCTCGTGGTATACTGAGACGCCGCAGCTGAAGCGGATCCCGACAATTATGTCTGGATCCACCCAGTGAGTGACAGCTGGCTCTGCCTATCTAGAGGCAGAGCCAGCTGTACCCGCCCCCTCCCCCGTCCGTTCCGCCAGTCAGCGCTGGAGGATCGCAGCGGGGAGGGGAGAATCCAGTCTCTGCCGATCGAGAAGTGAGCGAACGCTGGTATGTGTTCGCTCACTTCCCGATCTACTGAGCCGACCTGTGAAAGTCTCATTGTCACAGGTCGGCTAGAACTATGAGGTGAGTGAAAAGCACTCACCTCATAGTTGTCCTTTAATGTAGTAAAAGCCACATTCATGCAGTTTCTTGGCTTGGCTGCTCAAGTGCAGTGCACAGCCACACACGTGAAGTTAAAACAGGGAGCAAGTACTACAGGACGGCTCTTTCCTCCTCTGAGATTTCCTGCTCCTTACAGGGCAGATCCTCTTATGCAAAATAACTGCTGTGGCTCCTACTTCTCCCACAGGGCCCGCTCTGCTTTCAAGGTGTGGTACCGGTTTCTTTTTTTTTACTATTTTTTTCCTTGTTTTTCACCATAACTTTCCAGCTGTTTTTTTCTTTTCATAACATACAGAATGCTATAAAGAATGACAAAATGAAAAGCAATTCTTCTGCCAGTTTTTATAAATAAGACCCTATGACTTCAAATCTTATAATTATGACTTTACAAAGTCAAAATTATTACTTCAAAAGGATAAACTTATTTCTTAAGACTTCTAATTGCAAATTTTTAAAGTCAAAATTGAGACTTTTAACTTAATGATCATGACTACAATAAGCTTAAATTATGACTTTATTCTCCTAATTCTACAATTATTATATTTCAAATGACTTTATTCTCTTAATTCCTGTAATTATTTCATTTCAAGTGTTTTATTTAGTGTCTGTATATTACACAGCACTTTACAGAGTAAACTGATCCATTCACATCAGTCGTAGATGTTTTCAGGAGTTCACAATGCAATGACATAGCATACTCTTCAGCTAGGAACAAATATTCTTTTTCCTGTGTTTGTATGCATTAATGTGTATTAATTATCCTTATTACAATGACAAAAAGTAATACATCCTTTTTGTGCATATATCATTCTAAATTAAAATGTAAATAAATCTCCAACATTCAGGAAAATTATCAAAATAAACATATCAGAATTAGGAATCTGCTAAAAAGCTCAAGAAAAATAGGTGAGGAACAAAGGTGGAATCAGGTGCCACAAAGCCTACTGGTTTACAATACCCCACCAAGGAAACAGACCGTGGGATAATAAGAGTTGTATATTTCCTTGCACAGAAGGACACATCGTTCGGATAAGGACTACCAATTGAGAAATATTTTTTTCTGAGAACATGAAAATGGACTGCTTAGAAAAAGCAGACTGGATGACTATTATTCCTAGGGTAAGGGAAGGGATAGTCATCAATATGAGGAAAGAGCAACAATATTATTGATGACTATGGAAAAAAAAGAGTTCCATATTATCCCACAGATTCCTTCAAGAGGGACATCGGATGGGATGCGATCTACCCATGGAAGATAATATTCACTATCCTGTTACAGGAAACTATCAGGGTATGAGAAACTGTTATGGATCCTGACTTTTTTCAGTGAAAATATGTAGGGAATTTCCTACAAACGCAAAAAGAATCAAGCATCATAAGGAGTAGAAAACCGCAAAATCGAAAGAAAGTGCACAGCAGAGATGAGTGCAGGATTAAATAGCATAGCAAAGACATGGGCAGATTTCTTCCAGGCACAAAAATGTGCAGGAATTTCAGAAAGAAGTTAATTAAAGACACAATCTCAGTTTCAGAACTCTGCAGGGGAAAACTTGAGCATCAAACAGGAAACAATTGACAAGTGATCCAGTAAAAACAAGTCAGCTTCCCATATGAAAGATGGGGGTGAGTTTTATGAAGAGGGCTTAACAAATGAGACTGAAAATATGTGGCCTCAGGATCTGCTACCAATTGATGCATGAGGGTTGGAGGTGGGTTGGCTTAGCATTTTTTGTTTTGTCAGTGTCCCTGTAGGGGGCAGCACAACCAACATGTCATAGACTATTCTACAATCCTGTGTCCCTCAATAGACAATAAAGAAAAGAAAATGGATCGTATAGTGACAGTGGAAAAGCAGCTTTAAAACTGTCCTTCAAAAATGCATGATCCATCATGGTTATTTTATTTAACCTATGTTATGATTTAGCTGTAATAGCACTTCAAAGGTTTAGTCCACCTTTTCCAAAACCTAGCAAATACAGCAATGATCTTCATGATCAATCTGCATTTACTAGTTTTTTTTGCCCTGAAGCCTGCCAAGCATTGTACCCACAATTAGTGCATGACAGGTGTAAAGTACAGGCTCCTTCATTGTCTTCCCCCAGCCTTAGGGTCTGTACAGAGGGGACCAGCTGTTATGGGGCTGAAGGAAGTTGTGGCAGGACAACAGGAGAAAGAGGGAGGCTGGAATGTCACCGTGACCTTCACTGTCCCTGCAGCGACAGATGGAACCTCTAGTAATTTAATGTAAACAATCCCAAACTTGAATGGCATGGCTGTGTGCGTTACAACTTTCAGGCAGAAGGAGCACCCTGCGATTTAGGTAAGTGCAGGGCAGTTTGAGGGTGGGATGATCAGGAATGAGACCACGCTTCACGTTATATCTTCAATATGGGTGTAAATGAAGCATGCACTAAAATGTGGACTTAGCCCTTGTACTGAAAATGCTTAACTGAAGAAAGTAATTTCTAATAAAAAGTACAATAAAACAGCAATTGGATATAATGTTACCTGTACATGTCAATTATAAATTATATCCATACTCTATAGAAATAATTCAGTATAAAATGTGATTCATTTATCTCTGATACTGTTGTGCTCAGCTACTAATTATTCAGCATTTATCATCTAGCCATGAGATTGAATTACAGAGTACCGTAATGTTATTAGAAGTTGGAATTCTTGTTGAATCCCATTTGAACTGTCTTAACATAAGTTGAAGTAAAAGTAGAATGTGAATATTTCACTGAATAACAAACTACATATAAACAAGTAAAACATACATAAAAAAATGACAAATGACACTAACAAAAAATCTCTAAGCATCTCTTTCACAACTCTTCACTTTTGCATGTTTCCAGTAAAATGCACCTTCTTTGGTGATAATTGCTATTGCATGTAAAACACATCTAATGCACACTACATTTAACTGTGTAGAGGTGTATATGTAGCCTGAAGGCCAAATCCACCCAAAATATACAGTATACCGCTTTTGGATGAACAACATCAAGTTGACTTCAATTTCCCAGCCCAATACTAAGCTAAGAGATACAGTCATGCATTCAGAATAGATCCTCTGTGATGAAGAATACAGTAATCATCATGGGAATCTATGTTTGAGAGTGATGCTTTTGTCATGAGGCTTGCCTTTGAGCATTATATGGTCTTGGTTGGCACCTTAAAAGTCTGCCAGGGTCTTTTTCTCTATATTTCAATATTGGATGCGTTATCCCACATATGAAACCCACCTTATTTAATTCAGATGACATCATGACCTTGCAGTACCTTGAAAACACAAGGCACTGCAAAGACATTTCAAAATGAGTGCCTCTAAAAGTTAAATAAAATGAGTGAGAGATGCACTACCAGTGCTCACTCAAAATTAAATTACTAGTTGCCCTTTGACTTTAAGCACAGATTAAAAGTAATTCGAAATCTGAAGTGATCCTTAATTCTCCTCCGCACATAAATCATCTCCAATGGAGAAGCACTGCATTATGTGGTTACAATGCAACCTCAGATATCATCAGCAGGTGACACTGTACAATGTGTCATCCTGGAATTGTGAAACATCTGTGTTACTACAAAGAAAGGTCACAAATGGAAGAACTTTTAGTGGTAAAGC